CCGCACCATTACCCTGACTCAGTCACACATGGTGCAGCAGGTCCTTCAGCGCTTCGGCTTCACGTACTCCTCGCCTCAGGCCACTCCTCTGCCTACTCGCCACTCGCTCTCAGCTCTGCCTTCGGATGAGTCCGTAGAGTCGAGTGGCCCATATGCAGAGCTTGTTGGCTGCCTCATGTACCTGATGACCTGCACACGACCTGACCTTGCATACCCTCTTAGCATTCTCGCACGCTATGTTGCTCCTGGGAGACACCGACCAGAGCACATGGCTGCAGCGAAGAGGGTGTTGCGCTACTTGTGCAGTACGTCGGGCATGGGGCTAGTGCTTGGAGGGCGCAGTCCAGTGGTCCTCACTGGGCACGCGGACGCTTCTTGGGCTGACGACCAGGCTACGCAGCGGTCGTCACAGGGTTACACCTTCAGCCTTGGTTCCGGCTCTGTTTCGTGGCGGGCTACCCGCTCGTCTTCTGTTCTCGGCTCCAGTTGTGAGGCTGAGATCTACGCCGGGGCTATGGCTGCACAGGAGTTACGCTGGCTCACCTACCTGTTGACCGACCTTGGAGAGCAGCCTCGTTCTCCTCCAGTCCTGTACGTAGACAACAAGGCCATGCTGGCCTTGTGTCGAGAGCAGAGACTGGAGCACAGAACGAAGCACATTGCTCTCCGCTACTTTCTTGCTCGTGAGCTACAGCAGCGTGGACAGTTGCGACTTGCGTACGTGGCCTCTGAGGCCAACACTGCTGATGTCTTCACCAAGGCACTTGCGCCTTGTGATCATCAGCGTTGTTGCACGCAGTTGGGTCTTGTGCCTGTCTTGCCTCACTTGCTCTCCTCTTGACCTTGCTTGTACCTTCGCCTATATATACTCTTGCTCTTGCTTACTTGACTCTTGTATATCTCTATATATGATCTTGCATGTGAACTGGCCATGTGGCCTTGAACTTGTGCTCGGAATGTGTGGTGACTTTGTGATCCACCCTGAGCTTTGCTTTGCTTTGCTTGACTGGTCTTGTGACCCCTTGTTCTCCCCCACTTTGCCTATGGGGGTGTGTCAGAACTATATAGCTTATACTATTGTGTAGGCTATAGTGGGGTATCCCATAGGGGGTACAACCCAATTAGGGTTTCCTATTTGTACTCACTTCTTTCATAGTCATTCCATTCTCGTTCTCTCTTTCACACACTGCTGTCCTGCGTGAACAACGCTGGCACGCCGTCGACCTTGCCTTGCTGGAGTGCGGTCGACCAAGCTGCGCTGGCAGTTGGCCGACCTGAATGCTTGCTCTGATGTAGTCTTCCATTGCCAACTTCATTGGACTATTCTTCTGAACTTTTCCTAGTGAAACTCTTGCCAATCTTCCCCGTGAACTAGCAAGTAGTGTGTGCACAAGGAAAACGACTAAGGAACAGAGAACGCAGAGATCACACGAGCACACGTGCCTAGCCCGTAGCCTAGCTCCCGTTGCTGCAGTTATCTCCTCAGCTCCAGGGGCGGCTGCTGCAGCGGCTGCTGCTCCAGGGGCGGCTGCTGCTGGAGCGGCTACTGCAGAGCTCCCGAGAGCGCCTCGACGGGCGACGGAACGGGACCGCGCGGGGGCCCCCAAGACGCCTCGACGAGGCGACGGGAGGGGCCGGCTCGTGGGCCCCGAAAGCGCCGCGACGAGGCGACGGGAGAGGCCTGCGTGCGGGCCCTCGAAACGCCACAACGAGGCGACGCTCGGGGCCGGCGCGCAGGCCCCCAAGACGCCGCGACGAGAGAGGAACCCGCCGCGCGCTTCGGGGTGCACGGCGGGCAGAAAACCGCCACGCGCCCCGAGCGCGTGGCGGGAAGAAAAATAGGAGGTCGCGCGCCACGGGGCGCGCGACACACAGTAGGGCAGCGGAAGCAAGTGGGCCCACAGGCCAGGAGCGTTAAGCTCTGATAACATGTTAAATTTCTATAGTGTAGTAGGCTTAGAAGCCATAGTTTAGGTGCCTTAGTAGCTTAGGTTTTAGGGTGTAAGGAAAATGTCGAGAAATTTGAAAGGAGAGAATGTGATTCACTAGCAAGAGTTGGGATACAAGTACAACACCCTAAATTGGGTTGTACTCATTACAGAGTACCCCACTGCAGGCTAGACAGCAAATACATTCTGACATAGAAAACCCTAATTTGGGTTTTACTCACCATAGAGTACCCCACTGCAGACTAGACAATAACACATTCTGACGCATCCCTATAGGCAAAGTGGGGTATAATCAGCACAGCAAGCAGTTGCATAAGAGTTCACAAGCACAAGCAAAGCTAGAGGCAGTCATAGAGGGCAAGTGAGGAGGAGGAGGGACTTGAGAGGAGTGAAGATAGGAGGCGACGGGTGAAGCCGCAGACACACGGGCAACAGGAGCGCGCACACAGTGGCTACCGGAGCAAGGGTGGTTTGCAAGGGCTTCGGAAGCAGCAAGTGCCAACGCTTCAATCTGAAGATTCCAGCACTTGCATATCTTTGCAATGTGGTAAGATGGAAGCCCAACTTGTTTGCCTGTTGACGTAATATACGAACTCATGCAGTAGCTGTTTTTTTTCTTGGTTCCTTTAATGTGATTTGCAGATCGAGTTCCCGATGCATTCTTATAAGGGCAAGGGAACGCCGTCTCTGGACACATGCGAGACCACGAACCGCAATGCGGCTCAGGACAAGATTGCTGTGGTTGTTGCATGGCTGAAGGATGCTCTGCAGCGCGAACCATCAGTGTACTCCCCAGAGCACCCTCTTGGGTTTGTGCTTGGCACGGGGGCTGTGAGGATTCTATTGTTGAAATAGCAGGCGAAAATGAGAAACATGAAAGAGGGATTTTCACTAGCATATAGTTGAGTACATATTGCAAACCCTAATTCGGGTTGTACTCGCTATAGAGTACCCCACTGCACGCTACACAAACATCACATTCTAACACACCCCCATAGTCAAAGTGGGGTACAATCAACACAACAAGCAGGCAGAGCAGTAGTTCACAATTATAAGCAGCGCTAGAGGCTATCACAGAGAGCAAGTGAGGAGGAGGAGAAACTGTGGGGGCGAGAAGATGCGAGACGACGGCTGAAGCTGCAGACACACGGGCAACACAAGTGCGCAGCACTGTCACTACCAGGCTAAACCCGGACTACACGGCAACAGGCGCTGTTGGCTCGCTGTGCTCCCACGAGTGCTCACACTGTGGCTACCGGGCACAGAGCCTCGAACTACTCAGGCCACAGAGGGTCGTGGCTCTCTGGACTACCAGGAGTGCTCACAATGTGGCTACCAGGCGCAGAGCCCTAGACTATTTAGGCCACAGGGGGTCGTGGCTCTCTGGACTTCAGGCGCTGCAGACGACAAGTCGGCTACCTCCGGTCAACCTCCCCCAACTGCCCCACACCCCTTTCACACACTCCCTGCTGAACCACTAGCACCGCTCACACGCCACCCCCCTCGTACCACTCCGGCGGCTCCAGCACATCCACCCCCCTCAGCGGCAGCTGCAGCAGTCGGAGACGGAGGAGGAGGAGGAGCAGGGGACGGCTCACACACACGGCACCCCCATACTCTCCACCCCCAAACCCTAACACATGAACGCGGGCAGCAGCGGGGGTGGGGCGCGGTCAGAAGCTCGGGGAACGGCGTGCGGCACAGGGGAAGACGGTACGGGCCGCTCACGGACCTGGCGCAGGCCGAACGAACCGCGCGCGGGCCTGGCGCAGGCCGTACGAGCCGCGCGAGGGCCTGGCGCAGGCCGTACGGGCCGTGCGCGGGCCTGGCGCAGGCCGTACGGGCCGCGCGCAGGCTGTACGGGCCGCGCGCGGGCCTGGCGCAGCCCGCGCGGGCCGCTACGGGCGACGGAGGGCGACGCGCGGGTCCCCGGGGGCGATGCGACGGGCGACGGAGGGCGACACGCGGATCGACGGGGCAGAAAACCGCCGCGCGCCCCGAGCGCGCAGCGGGAAGAAAAAACGCTGCGCGCTCCGAGCGCACGGCAGGAAGAAAACGGCGCGCACCCGGGGCGCGCTAGAGGCAGTAGAGCAGCGGAAGCATCGGGTGGGGCCCACCCACATGATCGACTGATGAGGGTCGACCTGCTCTGATAGCATGTTGAAATAGCAGGCGAAAACGAGAAACACGAAAGATGGATTTTCACTAGCATGCAGTTGAGTACATATAGCAAACCCTAATTCAGGCTGTACTCGCTATAGAGTACCCCACTGCAGGTTACACAAACATCACATTCTGACCTCTATTTTCCAAAAGTTCTTGATTTGTAGGTTAGGATGTAATGTAGGTCTTGTAGGGTTGTAGTGTCTATCTGTTATTAATGAATCTTCTGCTAACCTCACTATAACAAGGATGTGAAGTGTATCGTTTTTAATAATGTTTTTGTGCGATAGATGTTTTCTCTTATAAGAGCGTAACAAGATTCATTTGTATTTTTTTCCTGTAATCAGTCGCCTATACATGAGTGTAACCCTTCGAGTTACTTGGTTATTGGACGACAGAATACTACACGTTATTAACTGCCTCGTTATCTCCCAAAATACTTGCTCCTGGATATACTAGAGGTTACACTTTGTTACACGGTGACGAAGTTACTGCCAGTGTTACGACGCGAGTTGCAAACTCGGGATACTGAAAGGTTTCGCGATCGTAAACTGCGGTAAACTTCCGCAATCCTCCGTTCACCCCCCTTCATCCCCCCACCCTTTACTGGAGTCCTCGTAAATGGAACACCCCCCGAACCCTGATTACTTGCCCCGTGAGAAACCAACGTGAACAGGCAGATGTGGCCATTCGCACACATTCAAGGCAGGTGCTCGCGGTGAACAGTGCTAGGACAGTAGGTCGTCTACGAAGCTCTACGAAGCGCCTGGTTTGGGACACACAATGGGCTGAACGCCATTCCATTTACGGGGCGCAACACGAACGACCATGCACAACCTTAAAACAAGAGCTGATAACCCTAAACGGCCGAAAACATAGCGCTCTGTGATGGATTTGGCGGGGTTCGGCCTGGAGCGAGTGGCGAGCCTGGAGGAGGGCAGCGACGCCGAGGACTGGGAGGAGCCCGCCCGCCACGACGCCAACGGCGCCACGGAGGCGACCGGCAACGACTCCGCTGAAGCCGCGTCTCCGGCCGCCACGGACCGCCGCGATTCTCCCAGTCGCGACGACTCGCAGTCGCAATCGCCGTCGCGGTCGTCGCGATCGTCGTCGTCGCAGTCGTCTAGGTCGTCGGCGTCGTCGCGGTCATCGCACAGCGACGGGGAGAGTGAAGATCGAGGCGCTGGGGACGAGAGGAGGGAAGGCAATGGGGAGACAGAGGAGGAGAAGGAAGAGGGGTATGACGGAGAAGGGATGGGAGGGGATGTGAAGGGCAGCGGTGGCGAGGAGGCGACGGGACGAGACCCGCGGGGTGATGGCGGCAAGGAGGGGGGAATGGCGGATGGGGGGACGGGGCTGGGCGTGAACCTGGACTTTGATGAGGACGACGGGAGTGACTATAACGAGTCCAGTGACGGTGACGGGGCCGGGACGGGGAGTGACAGAAGCGGAGAGGAGTGGAGAGGAAGCGAGGGGGGGGGAGGGGGGCGAGGGTGGGGAGCAGGAGCATGCGAGTGGCGTGAAGCGGAAGGAGCGAGGCGCGGGCGAGGCAGCAGAGGGGGATGAGCGGCCGGCGAAGCGGATGGAGGCGGGCGGGGCAGGCGAGGCGGAGGGGCTGCTGGTGCGCGTGGTGGCGGACCACTACAGCCGGCGCGACAACCAGCAGCGGCACGAGCGCGAGGCGAGTCCCATCATCCACCTGAAGAAGCTCAACAACTGGATCAAGTCCGTGCTCATCCGCATGCACACCCACCCCGCCCGTGGCGCGCGCGTGCTGGACCTGGCGTGCGGCAAGGGCGGCGACCTGACCAAGTGGGCGCGCGTCAACGTGGGCTTCTACCTGGGCGTGGACGTGGCGGAGGGCTCCGTGCACGACGCCATGGCGCGCTACAACGGTGACTCGCACCGCGGCCTCGCCGGGGGGGAGGGGGGGGACGGAGACAGACGGCAGATGCGCTTCCCGGCGAAGCTGGCGTGTGCGGACTGCTTCGGCGTGGCGTTGGACCGCGAGTTGCTGCCGTGGGCGCCCTTTGACATCTGCTCCACGCAGTTCGCGCTGCACTACTCCTTCGAGACCGAGCAGCGCGCTCGCTGCGGGCTGCGCAACATCGCAGCGCTGCTGCGGCCGGGCGGCATGTTCATCGGCACCATCCCCGATGCCAACGTGCTCGTGCAGAAGCTGCGTGCCTCGCCGAACCTCAGGTTCGGCAACTCAGTCTACTCTATAGAATTCGCCCCGGAGTTCACCTCGAAGAAGTTCCCCTCGGCACGGCCATACGGCATCCGGTACGAGTTCCGGCTGGAGGACGCGGTGGACTGCCCCGAGTGGCTCGTGCCGTTCGCCTTCCTGCAGCGCCTGGCGGGCGAGTACGGGCTGCAGGTGGTCCACCACGCCAACTTCCACACCTTCATCAAGACGCACGCCGCCGTCGAGCCGCACGCGTCACTGCTGCGGCGCATCGTGGGCGAGCGGTGGCGCGAGGAGATGACGGCGGACGAGTGGGACGCGGCGTACCTCTACTGCGTCTTCGTCTTTCGCAAGGAGGGCACTGCTGGGGCTGAGGGGGGTGGGGCTGTAGGGGAGAGGAGGGAGGAGGTAATTAGGAGAATGGAAAGTGATGATATTCTGATTCTCTAATACTTCTACCGTAATACACATTTCCGTGCTGATGCAAAGTAAGGAAGAGGTGATGCAACGTAAGAAGTTTCTAGCATGTCAGAAGTTTTTATATCAGGAAATCCACTATATTGTCGTCTGGAATGTCACATAAAACATGTGAGCTGAGACGAACTTCCAGAGTGTCTAATGTCGGGAACACCTGCCATCCAAATTCTCTTGATACATGTGCTGTGCTTCTGCCCCTCGCTAATCGTCCCTCCTAGTACCGCCGGGTGTCTGCGTCACTCACGCCACACGCGCCCCCATGGACGCTTCTCCCCTCCGTTCTCGCGACCGCGTCCCTCGCGCGTTCTGTCTTCGTCTTGCCGCTCCGCTGCTCCTCCTCCTCCTCCTCCTCCTCCTCCTCCTCCTCCTCCTCCTCCTCCTCCTCCTCCTCCTCCTCCTCCCTGCGCTCGCGTGCCTTAGCCCTCCTCCCCCACTCACCTTACTCCTTTCCTCCCTGTCCCTCGCCCTCCGCCCTCTTTCCGCTTGCTTCTCCTCTCCCCTTCCCCCGCCCCCGCCGCTGCTTCCCATCCCCACGGCGCGCCAGCTGACACGTCAGCGTGCTGAGCTGGCGGCGTTCTTCCACGTGGGCATGAACACGTTCACGGACCGCGAGTGGGGCACAGGCCGCGAGGACCCGCGGCTGTTCGACCCGGCGGCGCTCAACGCGACGCAGTGGGTGGACACCGTCAAGGCCGCCGGCTTCCAGGTGCGCGCAACGCAACGCGCCGGGCCTTGAGGTGCGCGTCGCGCTCTCGTAATCGTGCGCGCTGGGAGCGGATTGCGTTCTCGCGGTGGGGGCGGCCGTGTGCCGCAGGTGATGGCGCGAGGGGGGAGCACGCGAGGGGGGAGCGCGCGAGGGGGGAGCACGCGAGGGGGGAGCGCGCGAGGGGGGAGCGCGCTAGGGGGGAGCGCGCAAGGGGGGAGAGCGCTATAGTGGGGGTAGTGCGCAAGGGGGGAGCGCGCGAGGGGGCACGCGATGGGAAGCACGCGCGGTGGAGGGGGGTGTTTGTGAGTAGCTTTCGCTGGTGATGTGTGGGCGGTGGGCACGCGGCAGGGGACGCGGGCGTGGAGGGGACTCGCCCAACGGCAGGCGCCGTGGTGCTGTTGGTGCCGGGCAGGTGGTTCAAACAAACAGCTGCCCCACCTCTTGTCTGTATCCCACTCCTGCCAGTCTCTAGTTATCCCAACCCACACATACCCACAACCCCCACACCTCTTGTGCGCACACCCAAGGTTCAGAAGCCCCTCCCGGCCTTCACCGTTTCTGCGCTTCTCCTCGACCGTCTCACCTTTCTCTCCCCTCCCACCCCTCTCGCCCCACTCGCCCTTCGCCCCGCACGCCACGCGTCCAGCTGGTGGTGCTGACGGCCAAGCACCACGACGGCTTCTGCCTCTGGCCCTCCGCGCTCACCAACCACTCCGTGCGCCGCTCGCCCTGGAAGGCCGGCCGGGGGGACGTCGTCGCTGACGTGGCGGCGGCGGCGCGGGCGGCGGGCGTGGGGTTGGGGTTATACCTGTCGCCGTGGGACCGCAACGCGCGGGCGTATGAGGAGGGCGCTGCGGCGTACAACGCCTTGTATGAGGGGCAGCTGCGCGAGCTGCTCACCCGGTCAGTGAGCGGGGATGGGGATGGGGTGGGGGATGCTTATGCGGTGAGGGGGGGGAATGGTGGGGGTTGTGGGGGGGATGGGGAGCAGCATGATGCTTGGCAATGGGTTTGGTAGTATGAGCGTAGGCAGAAGCGTGTGAACATGAAGACAGTGGTGAGGGCAGTGGTGAAGACAGTGGTGAGGGCAGTGGTGAAGACAGTGGTGAGGGCAGTGGTGAAGACAGTGGTGAGGGCAGTGGTGAAGACAGTGGTGAGGGCAGTGGTGAAGACAGTGGTGAGGGCAGTGGTGAAGACAGTGGTGAGGGCAGTGGTGAAGACAGTGGTGAGGGCAGTGGTGAAGACAGTGGTGAGGGCAGTGGTGAAGACAGTGGTGAGGGCAGTGGTGAGGGCAGTGGTGAGGGCAGTGGTGAAGACAGTGGTGAGGGCAGTGGTGAAGACAGTGGTGAGGGCAGTGGTGAAGACAGTGGTGAGGGCAGTGGTGAAGACAGTGGTGAGGGCAGTGGTGAGGGCAGTGGTGAGGGCAGTGGTGGAAACTTCCTGTTCACCCCTTCACGTCCTCACTGCTGCCACTAACAACTCCTCTTCCCCTGTCCTGCTCCACCTCTCTCTCTGCTCCCTGCCTCCCTGTGGCATTTTCTCTCCATTCCTGCTTGTCACCTGCTCCGCTTTTCTCACTTGCTCCCACTCTTTTTCTCTTTCTTTCTTGTGACAACAAACCTTCCAACATACGGTTTTCTTCTCTCATGGTCCGCATCACCCTCCCATACTCCCTCTTCCCCACCACCAGCGCCACTCCACTCACTCCCGTGGTGAGGGTGCGATGCAGCACGCTCATAGGAGGAGCAGCTTGACCCCAAGCCACACCCAAGCCACGTGTGCCGCCCTCCCCTGCCGTCCCGCCTGCGCCCTGCCTTGCAGCTACGGGCCCGTGGCGGAGGTGTGGCTGGACGGCGCCAAGGGGGACCGCCGCCCCATGACCTACCACACTGCCACGTGGCAGGCTCTCATTCGGCAGCTGCAGCCGGCAGCGGCGGTGTTTTCAGCGCAGGGCCCCGACATGCGATGGGCGGGCAACGAGCGCGGCGAGGCGGGCGAGCCGTGCTGGGCCATGGTGAACGGCAGCCAGCTCACGCTGGAGGGGTGGGACACGGAGTGAGTGCTGAGAGGGTGACTCGGGTGGCATTTTGGGTGATTGGGGGGTGGTGCATGGTGAAGCGGCATTGCCCTTTTTCTTGGTTTCACAGCCACTCATCTATGCACCCCCATGTGCACCACCGTGGGTTTCCATGCATCCGTTGAGCCATGCATGCCATCCCAACCCCACACCCCTACATCCCACCCTCCTAACCACCCATAACCCATCCGCCACCTGCAGCTACCTGAACCACGGTGACGTGGCGGGCACGGACTGGATGCCAGCGGAGTGTGACGTGTCCATCCGCCCGGGGTGGTTCTGGCACCCGTCAGAGCGCCCCAAGCCCCCCGCCCACCTGCTGGACCTCTACTTCGCCTCAGTGGGGCGCGGGTGCTCGCTGCTGCTCAACGTGCCGCCCAACACCACGGGCCTGCTGCATGGGGAGGACGTGCAGCGTGTGGGGCAGTTGGGCCGCGCGCTCTCAGTGCTGTTCCAGGAGGAGGTCAGCGCCGGTGCTCGCGTGCACGCCAGCACCGTGTATGGCTGCGAGGGGGGATGGAGGCGGAAGGAAGAGGAGAAGAGGGTTTTACCAAGGGAATGGTTTGGGTTGGGGTTATGGGGATGGTGGGGGGGTTGGGGGCGAGGGAGTGGGTGTGAGTACGGGCCTGAGAATGTGCTGAGTGCTGGGGATGGCACCTTTTGGGCGGCCGAGGATGGGGTGCTGTCTGCCACTGTCCAGTTCGACCTCGGGCAGGTGAAAACCTTTCATGTGGTTCGGCTGGAGGAGCCTGTGGCGTACGGGCAGAGAATAAAATCGTTCACAGTGGAGGTGCTCGACCCAGACCCTGCTGGTGCAGCCGCCGCCATTCCAGCTGCCCCTGCGGCCGACGTTGGTGGTGCCGGTGCTGGTGGGTGTGGGCCAGGCGGGTGCAATTCCGGGGATGGTGTGCTGCCGTCCCTACCTGCGCTGCCGGGCCTGGGAGAGCATGCGCTCCACACACTGCATGGCGCCCAGGGGGCGGCACGCAGCATGCTGGGGAGGACAGGGAGTGCTGGGAGGGCGGGGGAGTGGAGGGTGATAGCGAGGGGTAGTACGGTGGGGCGCAAGAGGCTGTTTCGGTTGGAAGCAGTGAGCGCGCGGCATGTGAGGCTCGTCATTCACGATGCCAGGGCTGTCCCGCTGCTCTCCTTCTTTGCGCTCTACAGAAGCGGCGATTTGAGCACCATATGATCTCACGGGCCCTACCAGATCATTGTGCAATACACCAACTCACTGCTGCTGCTGCTGCATCTTCCACGCCAATCCCACATCTCCCCGCTTACCGCTAGCAGTCCCTTATTTGTGCTGTATAGCGGAAAGGAGAATAAAACCATATGCCTGGTTTCTTTTTCAGCATTTATTATGCAGGTCAAGTCAACATATGGTGACGTTTCTGCATGTATATATGGTACTCAAGAAGTAAAAGGAATGAAATGGTGTGACTAGCAAGGGTTGGGATACAAACGCATATCCCTAAGGACGCGTGTCTTTTGAAATTTGCATGCAAAACTCGAGTTTTGAGTTGAACTGTACACAGTTGAACCTAGGTCGACCTAGGCTCCACAATATCGGCAGCCGTAACCCGAGAGGCTGCTCCTCAACTCACAAGAATCACAAGACACACGAAAGTTCAACTATCGAAGTTCAACTTTCCCGAGTCGCGGCCAAACCACGCTGGTTACCCGGTTTGCCACGTGTTTTTGGCGATGCCGGAACACTCATTTCCGAAGTCGCTCGTGCGCACGATGTGTGCTGCGACATTTGCAATCACCTCGTGTGCTGATATAACCAAGGATCCAGTGGATAGGATAGAATCTGTTAAGTCTCAGAGGAGACGATGAAGTCTCTGTAGTGACCTTGTTGAATAATAATTGAAGGAGAACAAGATGATTGAAAGATAGGAGTACAAGAGATTAAGTAGAAATCTAGCTAGCCATGTACTCTGAAGGGTACATTTCCTTATTAACTGTATTGCATAGCTACAGTAACCGTGACTATTGCTATCCTCGACAGTTACCATGTTGCAGTGAATTAACTGTGGCGCGGTAACTGGATTGTCAAGGGTCACGACCGTTGACTTCCTCAGACGGTTGACCTTCGGGTGACCCTCGACATTCCACATGCTCTATATGAGCTATTGCGGTACTGGTACAGTGGAACAGCTTCAGGAATGCTTTATATAACCTTTCGGTTATTCCAACAGTCCCCTTCATTCCTGAAGGTGGGCCGCGTGGGATTTCTTGGTGATCCCGCAGAGGTCGGCGCATCGTTGGTACTGCTGACGTGGCAGCTTCTTCGTCAAGAAATCAGCTGCCATGTCACCGGTCGGGCAGTACGTCAGCTTGACTTTCCCCTTGTCGATTTCATCCTTCACGAAGAAGTAGCGAAGGGCGATGTGCTTGGTGTGGTTGACGAAGCCGGGCTTGTTCGCGATCTTTATCGCGTTCTGATTGTCGCAGAGTAACGTGAAGTGCCCGTTCATCGTCACTTTTGCCTCTTGCAGGAGCTCCACCAGGTACAGTCCTTCGCGAACAGCTGCGCTAGCTGCGATGAATTGTGCTTCTGTTGACGAGAGAGCGATAAGTTCCTGCTTTTGAGAGTTCCAGGAGATGAGTCCAACAGGTTGGAGTTGAAAAATGAATCCTGTGCGGGAGCGTCTGTTGTCAACATCTCCAGCGTGGTCGGCATCTACGTAGCCATGGAGCTGTAGAGGAACGGTGAGGTTAGCTTCGTAGGTGAGACCGACGTCGGGAGTGGAGATGAAGTACTGTAGTGCTCGGCGTAGATCCAGTAGATTCTCTGAGAAGAAACGAGAATGAATGAACTATGAATGAATTGGGTACAAGTACTAACCCTAATTGGGTTGTACCCCTTATGGGCTACCCCACTATAGCCTACACAATATACATGAGCTATAATGTTCTGACACACCCCCATAGGCAAAGTGGGGGAGAACAAGGGGTCACAAGACCAGTCAAACAAAGCAAAACAAAGCAAGCTCAGGGTGGATCACAAAGTCACCACACATTCCGAACACAAGTTCAAGGCCACAAGGCCAGTTCACATGCAGGAGTACATATGTATAAAAAGGCTAGACAAGCAATAGCAGGTATATATATATGTAACAGTACAAGCAAGGTCAAGAGGTGAGCAAGTGAGGCAAGGTAGGCACAAGGCCCAGCTGAGTACAGAAGCGCTGATGGTCACAAGGCGCAAGTGCCTTGGTGAAGATATCAGCAGTGTGAGGATCTAGGATCGAGTTCAGAAAAGAGAATGAGAATTGAGTCGAATTGAATGATCACCTGGGTACAACACGAGGCTATATATAGGCTCGACACAAGGCCCCGTAACCAGGTGTTACGCGAAAGTTCCGCGGGCCGTGTAGCGTCCTGAACGGATCCTTACCGAATTCGGTAGAAGGCAATTCGGTGGCAACCGAAAAGCCAGAATTCGGTGCACGCAACCTAGCTCGGTGCTATAACTATAATAAAATATAGGAAAGCACCTAGCCTAGGAAATCAAGCAATTCATGCATGCATATAATTATCCTATGCTAGAAATAGCATGATAAAGTAAAGGCAAGCAAGCATAGCTGGCATAAGCCGTCGTACTCTCACACGTCCCCCCCTCAAAGCTGGGTGGCGTGAGATACACCCTGCTTGACAAGATAGTCCTTGAGAGCACGGCGTGCGTTGCCCATATCAGCTTATGCAACCCAACTGTCCTCAGTGGGGTCGTATCCCTTCCAGCGTATCAGGAACTCGAGGGTCTTGCCGCCGCGGCGCCGATGAGAGAGAACGCGCTCGATCTCGTACTCGGGTTCATCCTGCACGAGAACAAGTGGAGGTGGCGGTAGCTGCCGTCCCTTGAACTGTTGGTTGGGGTCCTTGTAGGGTTTCAGTAGCTGCACATGGAAAGCATTGTGAAGCTTCCACGTATCTGGTAAGCGCAAGCGGAATGTAACTGGTGTCACCTGTGCCTCAACGAGAAAAGGACCACAGAAGCGAGGCCGGAGTTTGGATGGGAGGTGAGACAGGTTCAAGTTGCGCGTGTCAAGAAGCACCTGATCTCCGACTGCTACTGAGTGATCACGTCGCTGACGATCGGCATACTGCTTCCGGGAGGTCTGCATCGTGGTGAGTCGTCGCTGAGTCTTCTCCCATAGCTGCTGCATGGTGGTGACGAAGTCATGTGCGGCTTGGACGTGTGCCGGTGTAGTTGGCTGCTGTGGTGTGAGTGGTTCCCGTCCGTAACACAGGAAGAAAGGAGTTTTCCCTGTGGCCGCATGTGATGCCTTGTTGTAAGCGAACTCTAGGGTCGGTAACTGTGTGTCCCAGTGGCTGACGTCGTCCTTGCAAGCTGTGCGCAGTAACTGTTCAACCACTTGATTGAGTCGCTATGTCTGTCCGTCAGTCTGGGGGTGGTATGCTGAAGACATTGCAAGCTTTGTCCCCAACAGTCCCATGAGCTCCTTCCAGAACTTACTGGTGAATTTTGGGTCTCTGTCTGAGATGAGTGTAGCGGGGATGCCGTGGATGGTGATGATGCGGTCGAAGAAGAGGCGAGCAATTGCTTCAGCTGTAGCTGTGGCGTTGGTCGGTATGAAGTGACCCATTTTGGAGAACTTATCGATGACTACGAGGATGGAATCGTGCCCCTGTGAGGTCGAAGGAAGTCTGGTGATGAAGTCGAGGCTAACGACCTGCCATGGCTGCTTCGGTACGGGTAGAGGCTGAAATAACCCTGTGTGAGGATCTGGGATCGAGCTCAGAAAAGATGATTCAAATTGAATTGAATGATCACCTGGGTACAACACGAGGCTATATATAGGCTCGACACAAGGCCCCGTAACCAGGTGTTACGCGAAGGTTCCGCGGGTCGCGAAGCGTCCCGAACACATCCTTACCGAATTCGGTAGAAGGCAATTCGGTGGCAACCGAAAAGCCAGAATTCGGTGCACGCAACCTAGCTCGGTGCTATAACTATAATAAAATATAGGAAAGCACCTAGCCTAGGAAATCAAGCAATGCATGCATATAATTATCCTATGCTAGAAATAGCATAATAAAGTAAAGGCAAGCAAGCATAGCTGGCATAAGCCGTCGTACTCTCACACGTCCCCCCCTCAAAGCTGGGTGGCGTGAGATACACCCTGCTTGACAAGATAGTCCTTGAGAGCACGGCGTGCGTTGCCCATATCAGCTTCTGCAACCCAACTGTCCTCACTGGGGTCGTATCCTGTCAGATTTATATGACATAGTTGCTGTAGGCTATAGTGGGGTAGCACATATGGGGTACAGGTTTCTAGGGTTGTATTTGTACCCCAATCTTTCCTTAGTCAATTCATTCCTGTTCATTACTTTCACATGGTATAGAGCGGGTTCCCTGTGGGAACTTCGCCTAGGGCCCACCGAAGCGCGCCCCGAGGCGCGCGATCTCCTTTTTTTTAGCGACCCCCAGAGTCGCCCTTTCCCTCGCGGCCCCGCTGCCCTTCTCGCGGCCCCGCCGCCCTTCAGACGCGGCCCCGCCGCCCTTCCTAGCGGCCCCGCCCACCCTTCGAGCGGCCCGGCCTCTCCTTCGCGGCCCCGCCGTCCAGTCGCGGCCCCGCCGTCCAGTCGCGGCCCCGCCACTACGTCGCGGCTCCGCCGCCCCGTCGCGGCCCCGCCACCCAGTCGTGGCCCCACCGCCTCTTCCTCGCAGACCCGCCACTCCGTCGCGGCCCCGCCTCTCCGTCGCGGCCCCGCCGTCCCTTCACGGCCCCGCCGCCTCTTCTCTCGCGGCCCCGCCGCCTCGACTTCAGCGGCCCCGCCGCCCTGATCTCGCGGCACTCGCCGCCCCTTCTCTCGCGGCCCTCGCCGCCCCTGATCTCGCGGCCCTCGCCGCCCCTGATCTCGCGGCCCCGCCGCCCCAGCACTCGCGGCCTCGCCGCCCCTTCTCTAGCGGCCTCGCTGCCCCAGCGCTCACGGCCCCGCTGCCCCTGATCTCGCGGCCCCGCCGCCCCAGCGCTCTCGGCCCCGCCGCCCCTAATCTCGTGGCCCCGCCGCCCCAGCGCTCACGGCCCCGCCACCCCTACTACCGCGACACCGCCGCCCCTACTCACGGCCCCGTCGCCCCTCCTCTCACGGCCCCGCCACCCGGTACCGGAGCAGCCGAGCCGCCCCGCCCGAGCCGCCCTGCACCCGAGCCGCCCG